TGGGGGGGGGGGGGGGGTAAGCACAAAAAGGGGGAAATCGGGGTTTGAGGAGAAAATCCGGCATCGGAATCCGCTCCGGGTGCGGGAGCTGGCTAAAACCGTGCGTGTTTTGGGGGAAATTAGGCCGGGTTTGGTATAATCTGCCTCTTCCCCCCGGGGATTTACGCCCTTGCCAAGAATTGTAGCAGACTGATGCTGGGGCGCCACCGACGCCTTCGTTAGGTGGTAATTATGCAAACGAGCCGAGTTTGGAGCCGGGGTTGAGCTGGAGAAGTGGTACTGGGCTCAATTAACCTGAGTTCAATTAAAACCAGGATTCAGTTCATTGGGTTAAATTAAACCGGATTCACTTCACCAGGTTTGGTTAAACCGGGTTGAGTGAATTGGGTCCAGTTAAACCAGATTTGATGAAACCAGGTTCATTTAAACCAGGTTCAGTTCACTATGTTCAGTTAAGCTGGGTTCAATGGGTTCAATTAAGCCAAACTTGATTTAACTGGGTTCAGTTAAACTGGGCTCAGTTAACCACGTTCAATTAAACTATGTTCAGTTCATCAGGCTTGATTAAATTAGACTTGATTAAACTGGCTTTGAGTAAACCAGGTTCAGTGAAATCATGTTCAGTTCACTGCGCTCAAATAAACTGGGACCAAATCCCTCAGCTCATTTAAACCATGTTTGATTAAACTGGGTTCAGTTCACCAGGTTCAATTAAACCATGTTCAGTTTATCAGGTTTGATTAAACTAGATTTGTTTAAACTGGGTTTGAGTAAACTAGCTTCAGTTCACCTGGTTCAGTTAAACTGGGTTTAGTGAAACCAGGTCCAATTCATTGGTTTCTATTAAACTGGGTTCAATTTACTGGGCTCAATTAAACTGGACTCAGTTAAACTGCGTTTGATTAAACTGGGTTCAGTTCACCGGCTTCAGTTAAACTGGACTTTATCAAACTGGATTCAGTCCACCAGGTTCAATTAAACCATGCTCAGTTCATCAGGTTTGATTAAACTGAGTTTGAGTAAACCAGGTTCGGTTCACCAGATTCAGTTAAATGGGGTTCAATTCACCAGGCTCAATTAAACCGGGTCCAGTTCATCAGGTTTATTTAAATTGGGTTTGATTAAACTGGATTTGAGGAAACAAGGTTCAGTTCACCAGGCTCAATTAAACCGTGTTCAGTTAAAATAGGTTTGGTTAAACCAGATTCGGTTAATGTGGGTTCAGTTAATCCAAGTTCAGTTGATCTGGGTTTGGTTAACACGGATTCAGCTAATCCAGGTTTAGTTGATCTGGGTTTGATGAATGCGGGTTAGGTTAATCCTGGTTCAGTTGATCTGGGTTTGATGAATGCGGGTTTAGTTAATCCAGGTTCAGTTCATCTGGGTTTGATGGACACTGGTTAGGTTAATCCAGGTTCAGTTGATCTGGGTTTGATGAATGTGGGTTCAGTTAGTCCAGGTTCAGTTGATCTGGGTTTGACTAACGTGGGTTTAGTTAATCCAGGTTCAGTTGATCTGTGTTTGATGAACGTGGGCTCAGTTAATCCCGGTTCAGTTGATCTGGGTTTGATGAATGTGGGCTCAATTAATCCAGGTTCAGTTGATCTGGGTCTGATGAACGTGGGTTCAGTTAATCTGGGTTCAAGTCACCCCTGGTCCGTACAACCTCAATCTCCTGTTCATTTTTTTTTTTTCCTCTCCGTCCTGGCAACAGTTTCCAGCTCCCGGCATCCCCATGGATCTCCTCGTCGGCATCGGCTGCGCCAGCGCCGGGCTCCTGGCGGCGGCTTTGCTGGGCGTGGCCTATCGCTTGGGGCTCCTCTACCAGCTCTGCCATAAGGTAGGGTAAAACGGGCAAAACCGCCGCGGTTTTGCCCCCAAAACAACCACCTCGTTTTGACGCGATCTCGGCCAACGCTTCGGCCAAGGGATGGCGCCAACCGCGCGCACCCTCCCGGTGCCCCCCGCCCCGCGCAGGTGGACCCCCGGAGCCCCCGGCACGGCGGGGAGCTGGTGGCGGAGGTGCTGAAGGCGCACGGCGTCCGCTTCCTCTTCGCCCTGGCTGGCGGCCACATCTCGCCCGTCTTGGTGGCCAGCGAGAAGTTGGGCATCCGCGTGGTGGACACCCGGCACGAGGCCACCGCCGTCTTCGCCGCCGATGCCGTCTCCAGGCTCTCGGGTGCGGATGTGGAAAGGGGGGACGTCGTGCTCGGCACCTTCTTCTGCCCCAGTGCGGGGAGGGTTTTGGGGTGTCCCCTCTTGGGGGGGGTCCCAGTTGAGCCAAGAAGGGTTCAAAGACTTTGTGGGTGTCCAAGGTCCCTCCTTGGTGGATTTTGTCCCTATTTCCCCCCCCCTGGAGCTAATTCAGCTGCTTGGATGCCCTCAAGATGACCAACCAAGCATGCCCTGAACCCGCAACCAAAACTCGGGGTGCAGAGTGACCCCCTTTCCCCCCCCCCCCATTTCCCACAGCCCCTTCCTGGGGCCGCTGCTTCCCCTCCGGTCCCGGCTCCGGCGGCTGCTGCTAAAATTAGTGAGGAGCTTCTGTCCATTCTAATACTAATAGGCCCATTTTTAATAATGATGTTTTTGCAGCAATTTCAACCCATCATGGTGTCACAGGGGTATTGATGAAAAAAAGCATCTAATCCCTTTTAATAGATTCCATTTGACAGCGAACGTGTCTCAATGTTCGTTCCCAAAGGCCCCGGTGGTTGCGGTATCACTTACGGCTGACCTTGGAGGGTAACAAGACCTTCTCCAGAAGAATGGCCCAGTGTCCATCAGGGACTGGGCTCCCAGCCCCCCTACTCCCCTTCCCCACTTCTCAGATGACCGAGGGAAGCTCTATTTTGGGAGGTCCCATGGGGCTGGTGTTTTATTTGCTCTTTCTTCTCAGCTGGACCTGAGCTGGGCACAAGGGTGGCTGCTCCTTCCTTCGCAGCTCAGGAAATACGTATTTTCTCTGCAGCCCTGCTGCTGGGAAGAGCAAAAACCTCGTTCTCCATGCCTACGAGATGGGGAGAGAAGAGACAAGGGGGAGCAGCCGTTTGCAGAGCGGTGCCTGCTCTGCGGAGCCAGTGAGAGCATCTGGCTGCAGGGCCCTGTGGTCCCACTCCCGGGTCACCCCTGGATGGGTACAAGGGGGTCGGCCACCCCAAGCAAAGCAGCCTGAAGCCTCGTAGCCTCTCCAGAGCCAGCCTGCCTGACCTGTATACATAAATATCCCAGCAAGCACCTGCTGAAAGGTGCCAGACAGCACGTAACGAAGCTGCAGGTCCAGAAATCATTAAACAGGGAAGAATAATTGGCGGCTCTTTTTCAGCATCACCAGGGTGGGGAGCTGAGGCTCCCTCTGGTTGGGAGCTGAGCACCCTCCGGCTGGAAGCGTGTCTGGCCCATCGTCCTGCTGCAGGCAGCGAGGTGCTGGGAGCGGCAGGATCCATCCCCCAGCACCGCACAGGGTGGGACAAAGGGGGATGCAGCGTGATGGAAGTGCCCTACGGACAAACACCCTCCTGCCTGGGCTCTGGCAAGCTGCAACTCACCAGGAAGGTGCAGGAGCCACCCCTCACACCCCCACTCTGCCCCACTGCCCCCCACGAGGCTCCCCGAGCCCAGAGGTGGTCTGGAAACGGGCAGGTCATCCCTGCCTGGCTGCCAGCCCTGACCCCTGCCAGCCCCCAGCCCCTGACCCCTGGTCCCCCCTTGCTCTCAGCTCTCCCCCCACACCTGCCCCCCACTCCGTCCGGTTTCTTCTCCTCCTGTCCCCTCCTTTCATCCTGCGCGGGTGGAGAAGGGAGCTCTGTGTGTGTCCAGGGCCTGGAGGAGTAAGTCATGCCTGTGGAGGGGGGCTGGGGGAGCTGGCTCCCCTGGCAGCAGGCTGGGGGGCAGGAGGAAGGGCAGAGCCCTGCTGTAGCTCACAGCTAAATGCTGCCTTTCACTCCAGCATTCCCAAGGAAAGTAATGAGAATAATTAAAGGTAATTTCATTTATTTCGGCTTCAGTGTGTAAAGCAGACGGGGATGGGGGTTTCTAGATTCTCACTGAAGGAGGGAAAGGAAGAAACCAGAGCTCTGAAGCTGAGCTGCCTGCAGGACTTGCTCACAACCCCCTTTTCTCTCTTGGGGCCACATCCTCTCTCCCTGGACCTGGCTGTCTGTGGGGTTCACCTGGGAGATGGGGTCCCACGGTGGCGTTGAGAGCAGTACTAGTGGGGGAAGGTGGTCCCGGGGGGAGTCATCGCTTCGAGAGACCTGGGCTGGAAATGCCTGAGCGTCCTGCACTAGAATTGCCATTTCCCAGCTGAAGGGAGGCGCAGAGCTGTGCTCCCCCCACCCCATCCCTTGCAAAAGGAACACAGTGACGCTCGCTGAAAGGGTGCCAGCTCGGATCAGTCCCGGTGAGACGGAGCCGTGCCTGCAGCCCATCCGTGGGCTCACATAAGATCAAGGAGTGTGGTCCCAGGGAGCAAGCCACCCCCCGCCCCGAGTGGTGCCAAGAGCTCCTCAAGCATTTCCATGGCCCTGCATCACTGCCTGGCCCCGGGGAAAGCAGCCCCGGGGAGCTGGGAGCGGGGACTTTAATCGTTGTTAGTTACACAAATACCAGGGACTGAAGGGACCTAATTGGATGGTGACGATGCTGAGCTGGTAATTAGGAGCCCATAAACCACACAGGTCACAGCTCCTCCAGCAGTACATTCAATCACCGCTCCGCCAGCACGGTGATCCTCCCCGAGCCCTCCTGCCTCTCTGTCCCACCCAGACACTTCTTGGGGCTAAAGGAGCTCCCCCTTTGGCCCGAGACTTCATCCCCACCCTCAGCATCACAAGAGCAGCCCTGAGAGGCTGCCTGGTGATGGGAGAGCTGAGAAGACCCATCTTCCCCAAATTTGGCGATTTTCTAACTCTTTGAGCGCAGAGGACTGTATCCCAGAGCATCGCAAAACACCGCCCTGAAACAGGGGGGCGGGTGGGGACAGGGCAGCAGCGCTGCCGGGAGGTGATGGAGACACCTGAGCAGAGAAAACCACGTCCCACAAGTGCTTGTTCTGACGCAGGGGCCGCTTCAGTTCACCTGTGCTCTTGACCCCATTGTGTCTCTTCTGCATGAATAATGCTGGCGTTCAAACTTTCCTAGCACATACGCTCATTAAATATAAATTTTATACTCAAATATTCAACAGCAGGGTTTTGAACGGCGTGTTTAGGTGCATTTGAAATGCTCCCAGCACCCGTAAATGACAGGAGCCATCCTGCTGTGGGGGAGGACAAGTGCCAGAGGATGCCCATGGATGCCTGACACAGGCAGGAGTTGCAGGATGAGCTTCTGAGCATGCGGTCTACAGGCAGATTCAGGCAGGAATGAAGGTCAAGAAGAAATTTGTGAATCGTTCTTTATAGGAAATAAGATTTGGAGAAGCGGCGTCCTCACTGAAGAGCCAGTAAAAAAAAAAAAAAAAAAAGAATAAAAAAACCAAGAAGGGGAAAAGGGCCAATACCTCAGAAAGAATGCTTTTGCCACATTTTTCATATCACCAAAACAACATCGGTGGTTTTGTGGCCTGCAGCCATCTGGCCCATGGGTGCATCCAGTACAAGAAAAGGGTCCTGCTACTGTTCGGTACCTGTCGTTGCTTGTCCCAGGGGCTGTGAAGATGCCGTGAAAGCTCAGACCTGCACGTTCGAGGGCATCATGGCACCCACCAGCCCATGGTGCATCAGGGGCTGTGGCTGCCCACTCGCCCGTCCCTCTGCTCCCGGTTCCCGACGTGGCTGTGTGAACGTGCTGCCCTTTCCTGGTGCCCCCCGGCCCAAGGGGAAGGTCTGTGGGGGATGAAGGCTGGCAGGGAGCCCGCGGGTCCCCTCCGTCCCAATCAGCTGTGATTGAACGCAGCCCCGAGCCCCCGGTTCCTCTGCACGTCTGACGACGAGCATCCGTGGAATCTGCAAGCCATTAGCTCTCTGTTATCTTTCTGGAGATGCTGAGGTGAGCCATATGGAAGCACTTACTCGTCAACAGCCTGGGACAGAGTTTGGTGGGGTGGCCAGGACTCAGCCCTTTGTGAACTGCAGAGAAGCTGGAACGCGTCCATTGACCCATTTAATGAGCTCCGGCAAGGGGAATTTCACACTGTGCCTGGAGCGGCAGTAACCTTATATGTAGAGAGAGGGGGAGATAATTTCTAATCTTGTCAATCACGCCGTTGTGAAATCCGCAGCAGGGTTTCTTATAGCGTGAGGGCCAAGGAGAAGGCAGAGGGCCTGATCCAGGTTCTTGCAGAGCAGGACTGCACAAGAAAGGCCTTTCATTATTTTTCTTTGCAGTCTCCTCATTTCCTCACTGAAAAAAACAACAATATATTTATTAACTAGACAAATATTTGACTGGGACAACATGCTGAAATGACCTGCAAACGCCTCCTGGTTCCCACCAAGAGGGGCTCCTGCTCCCACCCGCAGCCTCTTTCACACACCGTGGTAGGAGGTGGCTGCTGCCGGCGCGCCCCAAATCCTGCCAGGCCTCCAGCAGCTCCGTCCACCCCCTCCTCCTCCTCCTCCAAAGGAGCAGGAAGAGAGGAAAATACCTCCCCCAGGTACCCCACTGGCTCGATCCCGCTTGCCCGCATACCGAAGTCACTTGGACGGTCTTGCAGACCTACAGCTCCGGATCTGAAGGCACGTCCTCGCCGCGGGCAGCACGGCTGGTCCCAGCATCGTGGTGCGAGGAAGGGCAGAGGACACGAGGGCGGGTGGCACACTCTGGTGTGCTCACACGCCCCGATCACCAGCAGCCGTTCCACGTGTGTCCCTCCGCACTGTCGGTGCCAGCCCCACCGGGGTTATTTGAAGCCGGAGGAGAGGATGCGCCGGTTTGGAGATGTGTCTGGGGAGGGTCCCTCTGCAGAGCTGCTCTTCCCCACAGCCACCCTCCACTGTACACTGCTCTTTCTGGCCCCTAAAAAAAGAAACATTAAGCCCAAAATATCTATAAAAAAAACCTATTTAAAACCTGAACACAGACATGGGCTTTGTTGGCCTTGTTTCTCTGAAGACCTGTGTCCCCACTTGGTTTGGTTGGAGACGCTCTTTCTGTGTCCCTGCAAGGTCACCTGTACTTTAAGGGTTGAACTGGGTGATCTTTAAGGTTTTTTTCAATCTAGATGATTCTGTATTTAGGAGATGGCAGCGTCACCCCAAACCAGCCTGTCGTACGTCAGCAGGACCCTCTGATGCCATGGCGCTGCCTGCACCGTCATCTCCACGGCGGGGAACCGCTCCAAGATTGAGCTCCGAGCTAAAGAAACAAACAGAGTCTTTTTTCCCCCGTTGTTTTTCCTGTTTGCCTAAGAAATACAATCTTTCCCCAAAATGAAAAAAATAATAATAACTTACAGGAAGGCCCCAAGCATGAGCCGGTTTGTGTGCGATTTCAATCAAAACAGGCTTTAAAAAACAAATTCCTTCGATATTCATCACATGTGCAAAACACATTAAAGGGGGACGGTGGACCGGGCCGGAGGAGCGGAGTCCTCCAGCTCCTGCCCGCACTGGGGGATGCAGCCGAGCACCAGTGAGAGCTTCTCCAGCCTGGTGAGACCCTGCATCGCCATCGGGGCTGGGAGGGGACAGGTCCCTCACTGGGCAGGGACACGGAGCTCACCGGGAGCAAGTTCCTGACCGTCCTAAAAATTTGCCCAATTTGATCACCATACCAACAGGAACGCTAACCAA